CCTTCTTTATCCATTCATCTTCAGACAGACACTTAGGCTGTTTCCATATTTTGACTACTATGAATAATCCTACAACTGACATGGGAGTCAGATATCTCTTTGAGATCTGGATTATATTTCCTTCAGCTATATATCTATAAGTGGGATTGCTGGATCATATGGTAGTTCTATTTTTATTTTTTTGAGGAAACTTCATACTGTTTTCCACAGTGGCTTTATCAGTTTATATACCACCAAGAGTGCACAAGGTTCCCTTTTCTCCACATCTTCACCAACACTTGTTAACTCTAGTCTTTTTAATGACAGTCATTCTAACAGGTGTGGGATATCTCATTGAGGTTTTGATTTTTATTTCCCTTATGATTGGTGATGTTGAGTACCTTTTCACATACTTGTATAGCCACTTGTATGTCTTCTTTGGGGAAATGTCTGTTCAGTTCCTCTATTTTTAAATCAGACTGCTTATATATCTTTTTGCTAATGAGTCATATGAGTTCCTTATATATATTGTGGATATTAATCCCTTAATAGATATATGATTTGCAAATACTTGCTCCCATTCTTTAGGTTGCCTTTGCATTTTTTGATTTTTTTCTGTGCAGAAGCTCTTTAGTTTGATGTAGTCCCACTAACTAATTTTTGCATTTGTTGCTTGTACTTTTGGTGTCATATACAAGAAATCATTACCAAGACCAATGTCAAGGAGCTCCTTTCCTATCTTTTCTTCTTGGAGCCTTACAGTTTCAGACCTTACATTAAAGTGTTTAAAATGTTTAGTTAATTTTTGTGAGTGGTGTAAGATAAACGTCCAATTTATTCTTATACATATGATTATCCAATTTTCCCAGCACCATTATAATGAAGATAATCCTTTCTCCACCACATATTCCTGGCTCCCTTGTCAAATATTAGTTGCCTATTCATGCATTTTTTTCCTCTGGGCTCATAATTCTGTTCCTTGGTCTATGTGCCTATTTTTATTATAGCATCATACTCTCTTAATTAGTATACATACTGTTTTGATTAGTATAGCTTTGTAGTACAGTTTGAAATTTGGAAATGTCATATCTCTCGCTTTGTTGTTTCTCAAGATTGCTCTGGTTATTCAATGTCTTCTGTAGTTCCACACAAATTTTAGTATTTTTTTTCTATTTCGGTGAAAAATACCATTGAAATTTTTATAGGAATTGCACTGAATCTACAAATGGCTTTTAGTATGGACATTTTAATAATATTAATATTTCTGATCCACGAACATCAGATACCTTTCCATTTATGTGTGTCTTCTTCAATTTTGTTCATCAAAATCTTATAGTTTTTACTATATAGATCTTTCACCTCCTTGGTTAAATTTATTCCTAAGCATTTTATTGTTTTTGATGCTATTGAGAATGGGATAACTTTATTTCTTTTTCAGATATTTCATTGTTAGTGTATAGTAATGCAAGTGGCTTCTGTATGCTGATTTTGTATCCTGCAACTTTACTAAATTCACTGATTAGTTTTAAAAGTTTTTTGGTGGAGTCTTTAGGATTTTGTCTACATAAGATCATATCATTTGCAAACAAAGACAATTTCACTTCTTCCATTCTGATTTGGATGCCTTCTATTTCTTTTTACTTGCCTAAGTGCATAAGCTAAGATTTCAAGTACTATTTTAATTAAGAGTGGTGAAAGTAGGCCCCTTTTCTTGTTCCTGATCTTAAGAGAAAGGCTTTCAATCTTTCACTGTTGAGTATGATGTTAACTGTAGACTTGTCATACATGACTTTTATTTTGTTGAAGTATGCCCTTCTATACCTAATTTGTTAGAGGTTTTTTTTTTTTTTTTAATGTTTATTCATTTTGGTGGGGGGAGGGAAGGAGGGAGGGAGGAAGACAGAGAGAGAGAGAATGAATCCTAAACAGGCTCTGAGCTGTCAGTCAGCACAGAGCACAATGTGGGGCTCAAATTCATGACCCATGAGATCATGACCTGAGCCAAAGTCAGAAGCTTAATTGACTGAGCCACCTAGGGGCCCCTGTTTACAGTTTTTATCAGGAAAGTAAGTTATACTTTGTCAAATGCTTTTTTCTGTAGCTATTGAGATGATCATGTGCTATTTATCTTTCATTCTATTAATATGATGTATCACATTTACTGATTTGCATATGTTGAATGATCTTTGTATCCCAGTGATAAAGCCCTCTTGATCATGGTGTATGATCTTTTTAATGTGCTGTTGAATTCAACTTGTTAACATTTTATTAAGGATTTTATGCATAGACATCTACTGCATCTATATTCATCAGGAACATTGGCCTATAGTTTTCTTTTCTGGTAATGTCCTTATCTGGCTTTAATAGGAGGGGAATGTGAACCTCATAAAACAAATCTGGCAGTATTCCCTCCTTTTCAATTTTTCAGAGTGCTTGAGGATTGGAATTAATTTTTCTTTAATGTTTGATAGAATTCACCAGAGAAATCATCTGATCCTGGGCTTTCTTTGTTGGGAGGTTTTTGATTACTGATTCAATCTCTTTACTCAATATTGATCAGATTTTTTAATGTATTCATGATTCATTCTTGCTGGGTTGTATGTTTCTAGGAATTTATCAATTTCTTCTAGGTTACCCAATTTGTTGGCCTATAACTGTTCATAGTAGTCTCTTATGTTCCTTTATATTTCTGTGGTATCAACAGAATTGTCTCTTTCATTTCTGATTTGACTCTTATTTTTTCTTAGTCCAGCTAAAGGTCTGTTATCGATGTTTATCTTTCAAAACAAAACCAAACCCAGCTCTAGTTTCATTGATATTTTCTATTGTTTTTCCTCGTATCTTTTATTTTTTTTTTAATTTTTAAAGTTTATTTTGGAGAGAGAGGGGGCATGAATGAAGGCGGGGTAGAGAGGGAGAGAGAGAATTCCAAGCAGAATCTGAGCTGTCAGTGCAGTACCCAGCATGGGCTCAAACTCAAAAACTATGACCTCATGACTTGAAATAAAACCAAGAGTTGAAGGCTTAACTCACTGAGCCGCCCAGGCATTCCTCTCTTTTACTTATTTCTGCTCTCATCTTTGTTATTTCCTTCCTTCTGCTAACTTTGGGTTTAGTTTGTTCTTTTTCGATTTCCTTGAGGTATAAGGTCGGGTTGTTTATTTGAGATCTTTCTTTTTTCTTAATATAGGCATCTACTGCTTTAAACATCACTCTTGGAACTGCTTTTTATGCATTCTACAGGATGCACACACCACCATATTATAGTATTAAGAGCATTCTGAATTTGGCTATATACTTACCTTTACCACTGTGTTGTGTATTTTCACATATTTTCATATTACTAATTAGTGTCCTTTCATTTCACCTGGAAGCACTCCTTTCAGCATTTTTTAAGGGGGTAAAGAACTCCCTCAACTTTTGTCTAGGAAAGTCTTTATCTCTCCTTCATTTCTGTAGGAAAACCTTGTCAGGCAAGAGTATTTTTTGATTGGCAGTTGTTTCTTCAGCACTTTAATTCATCTGACTCCCTTCTGGTTGCTAAGGTTTCTGCTGAGAAATCCACTGACAGACTTATCCCTTGTAAGTTACAATCTTCTTTCCTTTTGCTGCTTTTAAGATTCTCTGATTTTTGACAGTTTTATTATAACACGTCTCAGAAGAAACCTCTTCAAGCCGTTTGTTCAGTAACTTGTGAGTTTCATGAACTTGATTATTCAAATTTCTCCCCACATTTGGGTAGCTGTCAGCCATTACTTCTTTGAATAAGCTTTCTGCCCCCTTTTTCCTCTGTTCTTCTTCTGGAACTCCAGTAATTCACAAACTGTTTCTCTGATGGTGTCCCATAAATCACACAGGCTTGCTTCATTCTTTTCTTACATTTTCATTTGTTCTCTGGATGGATAATACCAACTTTCCTGTCTTCTAACTCACAAATTCTTCGCCTGCTTGATCCATTCTGATGTTGATGTTCTTTAGTGCTCTTTTTTTTTCATTCCATTCATTGTATTTTTCAGCCCCTGAATTTGTTTAGTTTCTTTTTATGATTTCTTTGTTAAAACTTCTCATTTTGTTCATGTATTGCTTCTTGATTCCACTGAATTGTCTTTTTGTGTTTTCTTGTAGTTCATTAAGTTTCCTTAAAACAGTTATTTTGAGTTCTTTAATGGGAAAATTGCAGATCTCCATGTCTTTGAGATTGTTTACTGGAAGATGTTTGTGATCCTTTGGTGTTGTCATATTTTCTGGACTTTTCATGTTCTTTGAAGTTTTGTGTTAATGTCTTCACATTTGACATGGCAGTCACCTCCTCCAGTCTTACCTAACTGCCCTCACCAATGCATCCAAACTTGTATTTCTTTTTTTCTCCAACAGAGTGCTGAACTTTTTGGCTAGAAATGTGGACTTCCACAAAGGCTATTTTCTCCAGGTGTTACTGTCTAAGACAGTATTTTCAGGTGCTCCCACACCATAGCCAAGAGGGCTAGAGATGTTTCACAGGGCCCACAGCCAGGACCATGGTCTGTATGCCTAGTACCTGATGCATAGGTGCAAAAGAGGCCTCCCAGGTCATTTGGCATTCAGTGCTGGATCCCACAGCTTCCACAAAGGCATTTTTGTCCATGGCTGGATGTCAAATTATTGTTGCTGGCATGGGAGGACATGAATGAGGGATACCTTATTCAACCATGATGCTGTCATCTAATTTTAATTAATTTAAATGTTAAAAACTACATAAAGCCAATAACCACCATATTGTACAGCACAGTTATAGAATCTTTGTTATACATATATTGTCTTACTGGAATTCTCTTTTAGAAACATAATTAAAGAAAACTTGAATATTATTGACTTTTAGGTATTCAATTAACAAAACTAAATATAAGCAAAAAGTAACATTCCTGGCATAAAATGTCAGAGTTGTGATCCAAAAGCTTGTTTTCCATTTCCAGAAATCATCAAAGAATTCCTTTTAACCTCTTGTGAAACAGGCTTTTGAGACAATTACCAAAACAACATACCAGGGTTCCATTTACGTCCTGACTCAGGTTCTTCATCTCCCCAACAATGAATGCAACCAGGTAAGTGCTCATTTTCACACTCTCAGAAAACTCATCCTGAACAAGTCCATCTTCCATAATGATTGATGAATTCTACAAGCAATGGGAAAAGATAACAGTTCTGTAATTATGGTAATAAATGACTTAATAAACTAAGAAATTAAAAATTCAAATACGAAATGAGTAGTGAAGATGTTGACATATTTTAATTTCTCAGCATAAGAGAACATGACTCTTTCTCCAAACAGAGAATGACCCTTACTCTCATTCTGTTCTATCATCGCTTATCATGAAAATATACTGAGTAGGGGTGCCTGGGTAGTTCAGTTTGTTGAGTGTCCAACTCTTGATCTCACCTCAGGTCATGACCTTAGGGTTGTGGGATAGAGCCCTGTGTCAGGCTTGGCAGTAAGTGTGGAGTCTACTTAAGATTCTCTCTCTCCCTCTCTCTCCCTCTCTCTCTCCCTCCCTCTCTCTGGCTCTCTCCCCTGCTTGCTCTCTCTCTCTCTCTCTAAAAGAAAAAAGAAAAAAACACACTGAATACAGTGAAAATCTTTAAGGAATTTTTAGTTTCAAAAGATGGTTTTAAATAAACATAACTTAGAGAAGGTAAATAACAGTGGTTCTGTTTCTTCCTTTTAAAATACCACCAAAACCAAAATCCTTCCTTATGACATAGGAGCGTTCCACTCTACTGCTACAAACACAGAAGAAGGAGCTAAAGTTAGAATATTCCTCTGAAAGATCTGAAACAGCTTTTAAAGTACCATGTTGGGGTGCCCTGGGTGGCTCAGTTGGTTGAGCGTCCAACTTTGGCTCAGGTCATGATCTCACAGTTTGTGAGATCATGACCTGATTGGGATCTGTGCTGGCAGCTCAGAGACTGGAGCCTGCTTTGGATTCTGTGTCTCCCTCTCTCTCTCTGCCCCTCCCCCACTCATGCTCTGTCTCTGTCTCAAAAATAAACATTAAAAAAAAAAATTAAAGTACCATGGTGATGACCCCAAGAAGGCTTAGTGGGATCAAAGGTGGTAAGTCACTATGCAGTATGTAGTAGACACAAGATTAGAGAAGCCTTCCAAGATTTTCTGACCATGAATTAAGATATGTTTGGGGTTACTAGGCAAGTAGGCATCTCACCTCTTTTAGAGGAAGATTAAGGTGAAGAGTAGGGCTAGGACTGGAACTGCTGAAGTGATGTCCCTATTGAAGGACAGATCACATCCTCGCCTGCCTACAAAGGTTGACTCCACAGTCTATTAGACGTGGCTACTCCTCTCCCCTAGCCACATGGGTTCTGAGAGGCTCCCATAAGATTCCACATGGCCACTCAGGTGTCATGAAAAAAAAAAAAAAAAACCCTAAGTTCTGTCTAGCATAAAAACAATTCTGCTTGGTTTTGTCCCCATTGCCTCCCACACAGAATTTACATCCAAGAAAGAGGTTCATGTTCTTGTTAAGCCTCCACGTTAGAATACTGATTTTTCAATAACCAATAAAACACCAAGGTCAATCATGATTCAACATTATCATGCACCACTATTTAGAACAGCAAATTCATCAAGTCTCAGAAAACATCACTGTGATTTTTAGTACTAGTTCATATAGTATTAGTATTTGCATACCTTTCATATACAGCACATACTTCATATTTCCTGCCCACACATTGCATATCGAGCAGGCCTTACTCTTTCTTCAAGTGCTCCTTGAGCTGACTTCTCTATTAATTCTAACATATATTTTAACTTCTATTTAAGCATTTTAAGAAAGGATAAGAATATACATGATTTTACTCATTCTCAACAGTATCACAAAGAGGAATTCAAATATTTATAACAAAGAAAGAGACCCACTCAAGGATTTTACATTAAGGAACAGAACAGTACCTTAGGCATATTTGATAAAGCAGTATATTGCTCATCCCTTATGATCCTGATGATAAATGTGGCTTTAAATCCTGGTTCATCAAAACAAGGAAAAGCAGATCTTGCTGCCAGGGGTTCAAACTGAGTTGCTGCAAAGTACCTAAAACAAATGCAAATTCATCCAATAGTTATTGAGCACCTACTATTCAAGGTATCCTGCCAAGTACTAGTGATACTAAAATAAACATGGTATAATCCCAGTCATCAAAGGATCTGCAATCAACTGGGAGAGACCTAGGTTATATGATGAACAGAAACCTGCAAGCTGCAAATCATGTCATTAATATTGAAAACAAAGCAGTGGAAATAAAGGATAGGAAACAAATTCTGACTGGCAGTTGAGATACTATATGGAAACTGGTGACAAACTTTTGAAGAGAATTTTAAAAAATGAAGAATATTCGAAAAGGTAGAGAAGGGAAGAAAGTATACTCTAGAAAGAGTGGAAAGCACAAGGAAAGACAGTGATGGATACTCAGGGACAGGAGGTGGCTGTCCAAGATGGCTGGAGATGAAGCCACAAAGGTAGCCTACAGCTGGTCTTAAAAAGGTTTCAGATGGATGATCACTATGAAGGGTGGTCATTAATTGCCATTAATCACCTGTACAGACCCTGGCTTCACAACATTAAACCTTAAACTTACTAAACTTTCATGAAGACTAAAAAAACTAGCTACTCTGTAGTATATTTGTTTCCTTCAAGCTTTTCAGAAATGAATAAAAAAAACTTCCTCCCTCTCCTACAGAACAGCAACAACATTTGAGAATTTAACTCATATGGAAGTCTTACATTAAAAGTTGGGAGAGGGTGCCTGGGTGGCTCAGTCAGGTAAGCGTCCGACTCTTGATTTAGGCTCAGGTCATAACCTCACTGTTAGTGAACTTGAGCCCCACATCTGGCTCTGCGCTGACAGTGCAGAATCTGCTTGGGATTCTCTCTCTCTCCCTCTCTCTCTGCCCCTACCCCACTTACACATGCTCTCTTTCTCTCTCAAAATAAATAAACAAACTTTTAAAAAAACTGAGAGAAAAGCATAAAAAAAGAGGAGAAAATCAGATTTCTAGTTAAACAGAGGAATAAAACAGATCTGCATTGGGGAAATCATCCAAACATGGCCAAGAATAATCAGGGCAAGTATGGCCCTGTTGTGCATATTTCAGGTACTGGTCAATATGGCACATATACAACCACCACCCTGGACAAGATGGCCTAGCTTGCTTAGGGCTTAGTTTCCACTTTTAAAAGACAGACAGAAAAGAGTGTGGGATTTGAAGTAAGAAGACCCAAACCCTGCACTTTACCAGCCATAGGAGTTCAGGCAAATCAGTAATACACACCTCAATTTCCTTATTTAAAAAAATTTTTTTTGACATTTAGTCATTTCTGAGAGACAGAGACAGAGTGTGAGCGAGGGAGGGAGGGAGAGAGGGAGACACAGAATCCAAAGCAGGCTCAAGGCTCTGAGCTGTCAGCATAGAGCCCAATGGAAGGCTCAAACTCACAGACCACAAGATCATGATGACCTGAGCTGAAGGTGGACCCTTAACCTACTAAGCCACCCCGTGCCCTCCTTATTTATTAAATTAGGACTGAGTAGGATCCTCTGCCAAACACCTAGGGGTCTTGTTAGAATCAAATAAGACTATTCAAAATAAAAACTACTTGTATGCCACAACTGCCAACATAGATGTTTATTATAAATGCTAGACAGTCATAACTCCTCATCCACACTCAATATTGTGTTTTCCTGATAAGAATTTGCCAAAATAACTGTTTCTATCAAGTAAACTACATGAAAGATAGCAATCAACATATATGAAACAATTTAAACATGCTATGTTGCTAATATTCAATTTCTTCACTCCATTCCCCAATTCTTACCTAGTTAATAGAAAATTGTGAAAGAGGGCCACAAGGGACCAGGGGATAAAGTTTAATGATATCTATACCATTCATATAAAAAGTCTATTTAGATGATCACTTTGGATAAAAACTGGATCATAATGTTCTGAGGCAAAGACAATCTTAAGTTATTTTTGAAAGAGATGCACTATTAACTATTTTACATAAGTCTCTTTGAGAAGGCTGCTGCTTGAGGATACTTATAATCTATCTTATCTATGCTGAATACCTTGAAGCTTATTCTTTCATTAGTGACTTCCTTTGCTTTCAGAAATATTAGCTGCAGTTTGAGCACTATCTCCAGTAGTGCTGAAGACAATCATGAATTAGCCAGGCTTCACATAAGAGAATTCTAACCACTGGGAATAACAATAGGTAAATAAATGAACAATGGGTAGTGTGAACTAGGGAGGCAGTACATCATAGTGGGGTTAAGAATGGGGTTAAAATGAGTTTGAGTTTGAGTTCCCCCCTCCTACCTGATAACCATAAGGTATTATTTATGCTCTGCTTTTTTATCTGTAAAATGAATAAAATATTAATATCCACCTCTTTTGACAGGATAAAAGATTAAACATATAAAATGCTTCAAACAGTTTCTAGCACTTGAGTTCTCAGTAAATATGGGCTATTATTATCACTGGAATTCAGGAAAGTGCACATGAAGCTTATTGTAGCAGGTGAGGGCTATGAGATAAAACAAGGGCCAGAGCTGGAAGAATCTTGAACTAAATCTTATCAGAAAAGAGGAAGTGTGAAGGCTCTCAAACCAAAGACCAATATGGTTAGATCTGTACTCTAGAAGTATGAGTCTAGGCAGTGTGGAAGATGGTGGCAAGAGGAGGGGAAAGCAGTGACAAGATTAGAAGTCAGTTAAGAAGATGCTTGAAGTGTTCAAAAAATGGCACTGAGAGACTGAAGGACAAAGAAATAAAACACATCCCTATCCTAAATTGTTTACTAGTTCTTTCAGCATCAGTTTATTATCTAGAATCTTAAGTATATCATCAACAACTTCTAGACTAAACTCCAAGGTCACTGGCCATTTCCCCTCTTAAATAACGTAAAGTTCCCTTACCACAAATACATGGTTGATATTTACATATACTCTGATTTCCCTATCAATAAGGAATATATCCCTAATTCTTTTATCTACTTATTTAATTATTCTTATTATACTTGGTGGAGGGGGTACAAAAAATTTCTCTAACAGAACTATGCAAAACTATGCAAAATTTGGAGAAAGGCAGAAAATTGTTTTGAATTAAAGTTTTCAGACACCTTGAAAGGCATAAATAATCTTCTCAAATTTATCTTCCATGAAGACATATAATTATGTGGGGCACTCATTTGGCTGAAGCAGTCAGGTTAACAGATTTATATACTTTCTGTAACAGCAGAGTTTTACAAACTAATTTGTTTTAATAGATGTAAAAACACTTGCTGGGGCACCTGGGTGGCTCCGTCAGTTAAGTATCCAACTCTTGATTTCAGCTCTGGTCATGATCTCATGGTTTGTGAGACAGAGTCCCATGTTGGGCTCTACAATGACAGTGTGGGGCATGCTTGGGATTCTCTCTCTCCCTCTCTCTGCCCCTCCCCAGCTCACACTTTCTCTCTCTCTCCTCTGTCTCAAAAATAAATAAATAAACATTTTAAAAACACTTGTTAAAAGCATTCTATTTTTTATTTTTAAGGGATTGTCTTCTCTATTTTTCTAGAATTTTCCACAACTCAATCTAGCCTATGGCAAGAGTCAACAAGTGACCATACCCAAAATCAGCTTTCTTTGCCATACATTTATTCCTTCCATTATATAGTAGGAGTAGACTCAAGGGACTCCAAGAGCAATAATGATTCAAAGAGGTGACTACTGGATTTGTCTTAAAGGTGTGTTTGCATTGTTTTTACGTATATCCTCTAATTCTTAGAGCTGATGAAGATTATAAAAGGAGAAGTAAAGCCAAGAAGCCACGGGCTGCCAGTATAATTACAAATTTGCTTTTAACGTCAGATCTCATGCAAGAGCCAGCATGCCATTTTTTAAGTAAAGGCAAAGAGAAAAAAGTATTATTTTTTAAAATTTGTTTTTAATGTTTATTTTTGTTTTTTAGACACAGAGAGAGAGCATGAACAGGGGAGGGTCAGAGAGAGAGGGAGACACAGAATCCGAAGCAGGCTCCAGGCTCTGAGCTGTCAGCACAGAGCCCAATGCAGGGCTCAAACTCACGAACTGTGAGATCATGACCTGAGCTGAAGTCGGTCACTTAACCAACTGAGCCACCCAGGCACCCCAAGAAAAAAATTATTTATCTGAATAGCTGTACAGATCTTGTTTTTTCTTTCTCCATGTAAGAAGGATCAAACAAGTTCCTTTAGATTTAAAATATTCATTTCTATTTTTCTCAATACATAAACATACATTTGCCAAACGGCCAGCATCAGTAATTCACAAACTGGTATACAAAGTAATATGAGGGAATGCGCCAGCAAAATTAAGCACATCTATTAAGGACTTTGTGTACACCAGAGAAATGGTATTATTGCTACTTATGAGTAACCTGTATACAGTGCACACTGCATCCTTCCAGAAACTCAAATTCCAGAAACATTCTATGAATACTACGATTAAAGTGTAAAATACATAAATAGCGAGAATACTTTTGTTTTAAGTCACTTTTTTTAAAACTAAATTAAGTCTGTCCTAGATTTTTTTAAATTCCATCAGAAATCCAAAATAGTGACTTTTTTTAATGAACAGCAAATATTAAGGACACTAAAAATGATATATGTAAGCATACAACAGTTCTTCCTGCCCTCTTTCTCCATCTCAATAAGCACCTCCTAAAAGTCCTGCACATTAGGAAAATAGATCTAAAAGAATTATCCATACTCTTCTTTTCTTCTTTGATTCCCATTGAGATATTGTAAGGTGACTGAAAACTACATTCATCTAAGATACGAAAAGCTCAAAATAACTTAAGTTGTGGTGATAGAGAATGTAACTGATAAAAATCTTCATCAATTTCCTTCCATCAGCATATCCCACTCCTAACATAATATATGACATGTATGAGCATGATAGGTGCCCAAGGCTTTGACTAAAAAAGAAATAGTAGATGCTTCCAAATCACCATTCTATTTTGCACATAACCTCCTAAATTAAAAAAAAAAAAAATTCCAGTTAACATATCTGGTATGGGCAAAGTAATCCACATTAAAGAAGTCTTCACAGAGCAAAGAAGTAGAACCATTTAAGAGGGCTACATACTTTTTCTCATTACTTTCATCTGTATAGGAGATTCCATAGAACCCACAGTAAGAAGTAGATATATTCGCCGAATACTCTATCTTCAAGGTATAATTGTGTCCTTCAAGAAGAGCTTCAGGGGCAACAATTGCAATTTGTTCATGAAATGGGTATTCCAAGACCTCAACTTGTTTTTCTTGGCTTGAAACTGCTGACGTAAAGGTCACTCTTGAAATATTATGGCCTGTACTGTGAAGAACGATATTCCACGTGGCCTGAAGAGCCTGAAGTGAAATTGTCACAGAACCCCTGAATGTCATCGAGGTTAGGTTTGGGTGTAGGTTAAGTTCATAGCGTAGTGGCATAATGGCGGTGGGAAGCCTGACTTGTGCCCACGGAAACAACTTTCCATTTGTTGCAACTGGCTGAATTAGTCCCATTGATTGGTTTTTTTTATGGCAGCCTTCTTTGGTAAAAGTACATCTGGGTAGTAAATAAATCACCATGATTATAGAAACGGCAACCACAATAAGAAAAACACAGATCGCCATGGTCCTCACAGAGGGTACCGAACAAGTCCCATCTGGGCTCGGCCTGTAGCCAGTTGCACTGTTCCGAAGGCCTGAGCTTCTGTTCATGAAGGACATGCCCAGCAGTTTTGCAGATGACTCATAATCCTCTTCGTCCTCATCCATCTCATGCTCACCAAGACCCCGCACCAGCAGTCTTGAACCCCGGGGCTCATATTCCACCTCATCAGGCTCTAGAGGATGTAAACAGGGCTCTTTGGCTAAATCCACCACATCTGGTTCTTCCTCAAACATGCTGTTTTCAATCATATTCCTGGGGAGCTGAAGCAGATCTAAACAACCAAAACACAAGGACAAGGCAGAGTTAGAAAAAAAAAAAAAATCTCATAATAAAATGCCTACAAGCAAAACCACATTTAATCTAAGAATTCTTTTAACATTAAGGCTTATTTCCATCATGGAGCTACTGAATTAAATAAGATGCTTATAATTTTCTTTTATCATCCATTAGAAACTTAAGCATAAATAAAAGTATACCACAGTCATGAAATAAGAAAGCTAAATAAGCAGGCTAGTAACAAAAAAAGGCAGCTGAGACTAAATACTAATTTCCCGGGGCACCTGATTAAGTCAGTTGGTTAAGTGCCCAACTCTTGATTTCAGCTCATCCCTGAGGTCAAGTCCCATGTCCAGCTGTGTGCTGACAGTGTGGAGCCACTTGGGATTCCCGCCCCCCCCCCCCCCCGCGGAGCCCCATTCACGCCCATCCTCTATCTCTCAAAATAAATCAACTTTTAAAAAAATTTTCTTTGAATAAAACTTTTGATTACATTCTAGGTGTGGGTTTAGCAAGCTGCCATTTTTCCACCTCCTGTGAATGACCTAGAAATGGAAGAAGAGTGATTATATAACATACCGCTTTAGGAATTTAATCTCTTAAACGTCAGATAGTGCCCCTACTTCTCATGACAAAGTTTTGTTTTGTTCTGATGGCTGTGTTTGGGCGTCCTCTACTTCATTATCAGAGCAAATATTGCTATAATTGAACTTAATTTTTTTTTAACTCTTAATGAACTCTTAATGGTTAGAAATTTTCTGTGGTAGTTTTTAGTCCTAGCACATGCTGAAGAGTAGTTGCTTAATTTGCTTTTTCAAAATGTCTAAAAGGCTTTTACTGACTTTGGGTTTTTTTTAACCTCATAAGAGAAAAGTATGTTGTCTTAGCATTTGCCCATGTGTTTTGTTCTGTGTGAGATGTGATGTAGACAACAATGAGGTCTGCACAGTATGGTTTTATTTAATGAATTTCTAAACTAATTCTAGGTATAATCTCAGTTATGTTTAGAGCACACCCATTCCTGAATCCATACCCCCTTAGAACTTTGTTTTTTATGTGTTTTGATTCCTCAGCAAAGCTTTGTTTAAAGCCCAGGGGTATTCTACTGTGTAACCATTTTAGCATCTCCTGTTTGCATTTCATTTACTTCAAATCTTTTTTTTTTTTTAATTTTTTTTTCAATGTTTTATTTATTTTTGAGACAGAGAGAGACAGAGCATGAACGGCGGAGGGGCAGAGAGAGAGGGAGACACAGAATCTGAAACAGCCTCCAGGCTCTGAGCCATCAGCCCAGAGCCTGACGCGGGGCTCGAACTCACGGACCGCGAGATCGTGACCTGGCTGAAGTCGCTTAACCGACTGCGCCACCCAGGCGCCCCAACTTCAAATCTTTTGATAGGGATTGTCAGACATCTGCCAAATCCAAATAAGTTACTTTTATTATTTATCACCCATGAAGAGTAATACTTGTGTAGAATTTTAATCTTTTAGAAATGGAATACATCACCTCCTCTGGTAAAATTTACTGGACATTTGTGGCAGACTTTTGCATATGTGTACAGTATCAAGTTAAATACACCAAACCAGGGGAAATCACTCTTGTTAATAGGTAACCCATGAAGATTGTACTTCAAGCCCATTTAAGAAAATGTTGCTTTGGATTCTTTCGTCAGTACTTCGATCTTAACCTTAAATTGTATACAACATAACATGATTACTCATTGCTCTAATGGGATGTCATTTGTATAGGAAGAAGGAATCCTATAGAAACAGGAAATTTTCTAAAACCTCTTAAATCCACATATACATGCTATCTATAAGCGAAAAACAAAGAATGTCCTAGTTGAAATTTTTCAGTTTTAAATAATGTAGGCCCATGTGGTAATAATCTAAGAAAACTGAAGACATTTCTTTTCATTAGATACCATGAACTGGTGCTCTTCTATGTTGTCTGTGAATCAGTGTCAATCCACAAACTGTTATCTACCTGTGACAGGATACATGTGGATAACTAATATTTTAAAAGTTTTATAGCAATCTGGGGCGCCTGGGTCATTCAGTCGGTTGAGCGTCCGACTTTGGCTCAGGTCATGATCTTGTGGTTTGTGAGTTCGAGCCCCGCGTCGGGCTCTGTGCTGACAGCTCAGAGCCTGGAGCCTACTTCGGATTTTGTGTCTCCCTCTCTCTCTGTCCCTCCCCTCCCTCTCCTCTCCTCCTCTGTCTCTCTATATCAAAAATAAATAAATGTTAAAAAAAAGTTTTATAGCAATCTGTCAATAATTTTATGCTGCCAAATTTAATCATTTAAAAAATGAAGCTTATAATTTGCATGTCTTTTTTAATGATGTCTTTCATCATTAAAAAATGATTCATTTTTTAAATGCTACAAAATTTATGCAACAGGTTAAAAATTAAAAAACAAAAAACCCTGATTCTTCGGCTCACATAACTTGGGAAGCAATGGCTTGACAATGGGAAGCAATGTAACTGTAATAGCAATCCAGGTCGATATGAAGTTCTCAATTATGACAGCAGCAGAAGTAAAAAGGAGGGAATGATTACAAGTCGTGTTAAAAAAAAGAGAATACCAAGGAATTGATGCTCCCTTGGGCCAGACAGTTCTGTAAGATGGACTGACAGGAGGAAGTCAATGTCAATTCCCAATATACATTCTGGCTTGGATAACTGGAAGAAAGGATGCCTTTCATGGAGATTGATAATATAGGTTTCCAAATTCTCTCTCGGTGTTCTTTTCTTTGGGGGGGGGTGGGGGGGTGTAGTGAGAACAGTTATAGGATGGCATTTGGTATGGGATACGATGTATTTAATACATCTGTCAGCCGGATGGAGATGTTTGATTAATGGCATATTATAAACACCTAATTTTAGAAAGAACTTCAAGTCCTGCCTCTTCCACTGATTGCTTGATCTCAAATGGGTCACAAATATCCCTTAGCTTCAATTTCCTCACCCATAAATGTGAAAAACATTACTATTTTCTAGGCCTGTTATGAGGACTATGTTATATGGATCTGGTCTCAAAACAGGGATTTATGGGGAAGATTCAGATTTCAGAATCACCTCCGTATACGTAATGAAAACCGTGCAGATGAGTGAGACTACTGAGAGGGAGAGAGGTAAGAGTCAGAGAGTATGAGCATTGAAGAGATGGGCAGAGGAAGAGGGGCAAAAGAGGAGAGTAAGAAGGAATTTACTAGAGGTAAGAAAATTAGGACAGTAGTATCCCAAAAAACAAAGAAAGTTTTCATGAAGGAAGTGGTCAGCATTAACTGTCTTTGAAACATCAAGTAAAATGAGGCCTAGAGACGTTATGAGATTTGGCAACTAGGGAACCAGCAACTTTCATAAAGCACCTTCAATGGAATAGTGGAAATGGAAGCCTAACAGCCCAAAGAATGGAAAATCTACATGGGAAGTCAAGGGCTGCAGACTATTCTTTCAAGGTACACAGTTGTGTATCAAGAAAAAAGACATAGGGTCAAACTAAAACATAATACGGCACAGAGAAAAGTCCTTTTGTTTTTTTGTTTGTTCGTTTGTCTGTGTTTAAGATGGGAATAACTTAAGCATGAAGGAAAAGTAAAGAATGACAAAACATGCAGGTGGAGGAGTAGATGATAGGAAATGTTAGAATAACATCCCACAGGGATGGGAAGATACCACAAAAACTCCGGGAGAGAGATTAACCTGGGTGAGAACTAGGCACTTCTCCTCTGAACCTGGGAGACAGAAGGTGAAGACAGAGAAGAAGCATGTACAAGAGCATGGAAAACTGAGGATGTGAACAGCAGAGAGCCTCCATGTTCTCTGTGACAGAGGAATCAAGGCCATCTGCCCGAAGGCAGTTGTGGGGAAGGATAGGTGGCTTACGGAGGAAAATAAAGTACAAAAGCTTAGGCAGAGGACCAGGGAAAGTTGACCCATGGAAAGGTTATGGCTGAGAAGGTCAGTAAGTGCAGTAGAACTTCTCATGCTACCAGTCTCCATAAATGCCTTTTAGCAGTACTCACCAGCCCAAGTCTAAAAGAAAAAAACAAAAAAAACAAAACAAAAAAAAACATGTATGTGTATTTTACCACAATTTAAAATGGAAAATATAAATGGAAAATATTTTTAAAGAGTAGAGACAGCAGATGGGTTAATCCAGGGTTAAATATGTAGAGAGAATGTGGTAAGAAGCTACAAGGAAAATGCATAGAAGGTGCTGGAAAGAGAGAAAATGATTAAATGAGGGGTTCAATTTAGAAAACACCAGAAAAAGTAAAGCTATGGCGAACAACATGGTGAGCAACTTGAATTAAAACAAGAAAACTTCCCACAAACTTTAATCCCTTTAAACTACCATCACATTTTCTGAGAAAATGAAATGAAATGGGGTATATTTTGAAATCAACAAGCCAAAACAAATTTAAAAGAATAGGCCTAATTTCAATAAGGCTTTTTGGGAAGATGCAAGATTGCTATATTCAATTAGGTATTATAGCAACTTGCTATATTCAAATTGGGCCTTAACAATAAAGAATTATGCTTCTTCTGAGGCCTCTCAGACATATTTAAACAGAGTTGAAAGCTCCAAGCATGAGACAACATTTATATTTTCTAGATCACTTCCAAAGGGAAACGTCATTAAATTTCTGAAGTGACGACTAATTATCAAATAACATAACTATTTCCCCAATAAGCAATCCTCGACTATCAAAAAGATATTTTATTTTTTTAAAGTTTAATACTAAAAAGGCAAGAAAACAACTAGAATTCAGAACAAGAACAGTGATTTTTCTGTACGGATCTAATCTGACAAAACATTACCTAATCCCCTGACCCCCACCACAGATGCACTCAAAGAAAACTTCTTCCTATTAATCACAATGCTCATGTTAAGTTACAAATCTAGATATATCATCTTCTCACCAGAATGTGAAGAGCAGACACTAAGAGACAAATTTTAAAGATGTTCTCAGTAGCTCCTTTCCC